CTTTTAGTTATGGACCGTTTGAGCCACTGAAAACTATAAAAAACACTGACCACTATAAAAACTAGCCCTTCATAGACAGATATACTGACAAGCAGATTTTCACAGCCTGATTGTTATTCTTAAAAAAATTCTTGCACAGCGTACGATGTATAAATTGTCGCCATTTTATATTTTTAATTTCGCGCATGCGCGTTGTTTGTTTTTGATTTTGTCAACTGCACAGTATAGTAGGGTCAGTTGGGCATCGTCTGGGAGAAAATGACGCAATTCACTCTACCAGAAATTCGGAAAAGGCATGCTGTACTGCTTGGCATTCGCGCCGGAGTCTCTCATACGAACATTTCAGACTGTTTGGGTGTCAAGTTGAGAACAGTGCAGAGGATTCGGAAAGAGTTGGATGGGTCTAATGGTGATTACGAAGGTGTTCGGAGTTATTACTAGTGATGCTACCATTCATCTTCCAACAATATTCAACACAGAGGTCTACATCAAATACCTGGAGGAGGTAGTGCTGATCTGGGTCAAGAGGGTGGCTACTGGAAGAGTCTATGTCTGGCAACAGGACTCTGCACCATGCCACACAAGCAGGAGAACCCAATCATGGATATCAGACAATTTCTGCGGCCACATCACCCCTTACATCTGGCCACCAAACTCCCCAGACTGCAACCCCATGGATTATAATGTGTGCGGCTCAGTTGAGCGAGAGACCAACAAAACTCCTTGTAAGACCAAAGATGAACTGAAGGAAAAGATTATGGCAGCATTCACTATCTTGAACAAGGAGATAGTCCAGAAGAGTGGCACGAGATTTCAAAGTCGCCCTGAGGCTGTGGTTGAAGCCAATGGTGATTTTATTGAATAAATATATTCTTTAGTATTTCAAGGTATTTTTTGTGTAATTTTGGTAAATATATCTGTTAAAATGAGATGTCAGGGTTATTTTCATTTTTTGCGTCATTTAGGCGACAATTTATCCATCGCACCCTGTTCGTGCGTTTCTCCTTACCGCATCCTCGTGCACACGACACACGCATCACTTTTCAGCCAGCCATGCTTACAAGAAATTGTGGTCAATTAATCCTCACCGGTATATGAGAAGATAAGAAAGCCGTGCTAAACCGTGGAAAATGTACTTGCTCTTATGGAGTGGCAAAAGATGGCGGTCGAGCAAGCGAAAAAGCAAGGAAACGACCTGAGCGAGAATGCGAGAATACTCTTTTTTTTCTTTTTTTTTTTTTGTTCACTTTTGCTGTTTTGCATGTGTGTTCCGTAGCCAAGACAGCATGACGTGTACAAGTTGATCAGCTGATTTGCAACGCGTGCTTTGTTGTCCACGTGATTTTACGAAGATTGCATACGAGATTTGCGGTGTGTAATGTCTTCATTCAGTTACGTCATACCACTGAACATGAGATATGCGTTATTTGCTCAAGTCATGCACGACTGACTAAACTGTGTTACTTACCATACTACAACGTAGAACAGATAAGTAACAGAAAAAAATATGCGGACTTAAAACCCAAGGAACAAATGTCGGAGTATAAGGTCAAGAATACCTAGCTATAGCATAAATGGACCAGAAAAAGATAAAGCTTGTACTAATAGTATTTATTTATGTTTATTGGGAGTAAAGAGAGTTTGGAAAATCTAACAGACAAGGGAACTAAGAGAAAACTGAGTAGCCGACTTAAAGAATTTGTGTGAATTGATAACAAAAACAGTCAAAGAGGGATGGTAACATATCTAGATTTATTTAAAGCGATAAAAGATAGGAAGTTGTGGAAAGCCATAGTCGCCTATGTCATTAACTGACTCGGCAAATATGAGAAAATCCGACAGCAAAGCTTTTGACCGGGAGATTAGAGGTTTTGAGGAACTCGGAACCATCTCCAAATTGCTGTTGACCCAAAGTCAATCCAGACCCGTGGTAGTAGCACCTGTTAGGGTCCCAGCTACCGGAAAATGGTGAACCCCCAAAGAAAAAAAACTATGAAAGTATAAAAATATATTTTTATATTAAAAAATACCAACAATGACTTGCTCCCAGTGTAAGTTCTAGATTATTCTAATATCCTATACAAATATAATCCTATACAAATCTATAATCCTATATATACCTATAGATAATCCTATACAAATCTATAATCCTATATATACCTATAGATAATCATATACAAATATATAATCCTATATATGCCTATAGATAATCCTATACAAATATATAATCCTATATATGCCTATAGATAATCCTATACAAATATATAATCCTATATATGCCTATAGATAATCCTATACAAATATATAATCCTATATATGCCTATAGATAATCCTATACAAATATATAATCCTATATATGCCTATAGATAATCCTATACAAATATATAATCCTATATATGCCTATAGATAATCCTATACAAATATATAATCCTATATATACCAATAGATAATCCTATACAAATATAACAAGCTTACCTCGCTGTTCCCGTCTTGGGTATGACAATAAACTACATCCGGCAGCAAGGCCCCTGACCGGGAGTTTTTGAGGAGCGTGGAACCACCTCTTAATTTCTGTTGTTCCCAGGTCCACCCTGACCCGGGCTGTTAGCACTTGTGAGGGTCCTAATTATAGGCAAATAGTTAACCTCCAATCTGGGGTCAAAACACTATGAAAGTATAAAAATATTTTTGGGAGTGGAAATAACATCAATACATTTTTGAAAAAAGAAATATTACCCGCAATACATTTTGAAATATATATATATATATATATATATTCATGCACGTTTCATTAAATAATATAGACAAGTGTTGTCTATTTATTTTATGTAAATTTTTTTCGTACCGGCTGATAAGTTTAATAACATTATCGTTAAACGAAGAAAGAAATTCACAATATTGATCCATATTTTTTTTAATACAATCTAAGCTTTCGGCTTACATAAGCCATTATCAAAGATGTCAATTACAGCATATTAAGCAATATACGGACAAGACAGTGATGATAGTCTGTCAATGTTTACATAGATGATTTCTAAGCAACGATAAACACGTGCATATAAGACGCTAGAAGCGAAAATCGCACCGCTCTCATGACGTCACACATGACCACACGAGAGTGAATTATTGAAGTATGGGAAGCCGTTGGTATAAACAAAAATAAATAAAGAATATTTGTAGAGATGCCATAATTATATATATATATAACTATCAATACATTTGACTGTTGACAAAAACTCTCTTTACGAAAATACGTCAATGAAACCTGATCTATAAACTGATTACTTACAAAGAATACGTATTCTATTTATACGAACCTATTCCTAAAATATCTTGTCGGTATTAAATAACCCATTGAGGTGTTGTTATGCCGTAAAACAAACGAAAACCAATTAAATCAATTTCTCTATAAACTGAATATGTGAAAACGAACACATCAATGAAACCAGACTCTCGACAAAATCCCTCTTTACAAAAAATACGACAATGAAACTGGATCTACAAACTGATTACATATTCTATTTATACGAACCGGTCCTAAAAATGTTGTCGATATTAAATAACCCATTGAGGGTTTGATATGCCGTAAAACAAAATAAACCCAAACCCAAAACCTAGCTTTTTCAACAGTTTTTTTTTTTTGTTGTTCGCACTTTTATCAAACACTTTTTACACTTATAAAACATAGGAATAGGTTTCTGATATCATTCTAATATCATAAATATCGCATTCCTTGTTCCATTATCTTTAACGAAATCTTATTCTGGTTCCAATTTCCCCATAATTCTGCTGCGTGCACTATTCATCCAAATTCGGGTGATAGTTTTTATGTACTTCATTCAACTGATTGTCTTATGGAATTCATATTCGTTTGTCTCTGGTTTCTTAGGCAGCACTATGGAAATGGATCGAGTTTAAGTCTTCTGGTATATTGTCATTATTGTATATTTCTTTTATTATATCTGTAATCTTGTCAATGCCGAAATCAGCGAAGTCTGTCAGAATCTCTATTACAATTCTATCTGACCTTGCTACTTAATTCCAATTCAATATGTAACTAGAAGAGAAACTATCAATAAAATCAAGATGTTTTACTTTTCCGCATGGCTTCAAACAAAAGGTTAGGAAGGAAACTCCTGTCAATACTAAAAAAGAGCGATAACAATTCAGTCAGTTTATGTGCCATGCGGGATACACGCTTAGGAGATCATGTATCTTTCGATACTTGACTGACGAGGCCGATTTTTTCCCGCAGTAGGTTGCCATTTCTTTCTGCGGTAGACCAGTTGCCATTCAAGGCTATAGAACCCGGCCTGTCCTGCTATTTACCCATAGCTGGGGGTAGAAGAAAAGGATTCATACATTTCCCAAGGGTATTAACAAGTAAGTGAATTTCAGTCAGTTATGTGCCATGCGTGATACACGCTTAGGCGATCATGTACCTTTCGATACTTGACTGACGTGGCAGATTTCTTCCCGCAGTAGGTTGCCATTTTTTCTGCGGTAGACCAGTTGCCATCCAAGGCTATAGAACCCGGTGTGTCCTGCTATTTACCCATAGCTGGTGGGAGAAGAAGAGGATCCATACCTTTCCCAAGATTATTAGCACGTAAGCGAATGTAATGGATTTGACTAGAATTCGATTTTTCTATCTCTTTCTGTAAAAAAAAAACTATTTTAAGACAATGATTTTTGTAAATTTCAACTGACAGTCACACTAACTTTTTGATCAATGAATATCAAATGTTTCCTGTATGGAGATGGCTAATGTCACCATTATGATTATTAAAGGGAGATCACCAGGTTAAAGTTTGCCTATGAAATATTGAAACCAGAAAGAACTATCAATTGTATCCAAATCCTTTGTTTTAATTTTAAATAAAAAGGGGGTTTCATGAGTAGGTGTGGTCTATTTGCTTAGTTTAGGCCAAATAGATCATACCTGTTCTTATTTTGAGACTGGAAAGGAAGAGGAAAAAATGCCAAGGGTTTTTTGTAGTCTATAATGAAAAGAAAAAGCAGCATTTTTCTACCTTGAAAAGAAATCTGGAAAGAAAGACACAAAAATAGATGAAAGAAAACAAGACGAGTGGGCGGAAAGCAAAGAGTTTTAGCGAAGGAAAAGCCCAGAAAGTAGACGAAAGAAGGAGGAAGAAGGAAGAAGAAAGAAAAGTGATTCTTTCTTTTGTTGCAGATGAAAAGAAGTAGGAAAAAGAAATAGAAAGGTAGTTTAAGCAAAAAAAAAAAAAAGAATGGAGGTCAGACAAAAGAAAAAATGAAGTAAGAAAAAGGATTCTGCATAGTTGGAAAGAAGAGACAAAAGTAGAAAAAGAAGAGAGAAGGAAAAAGAATAGCAAGTTGAAAAGAACCCCCCCCACACACACACACACAAAAGATAAATATGGAAGACAAGGAAAGAAATGAAAAAAAAAAAAAAAGAAAGAAAGAAAGTATAAAATGAGATACAGAAAAATTCTTTGCTTGACCAAGAAGGAATACCAAAAAGAAACAAAAAAATTATTTTGTCAGAAAGTGGGTTGGGCAAGAATTTTTCAATACCTCCTTGTAAGCTTGACCCCACACCAATGGCCCCAGAAGGGTAAAGATAGGAAATGTTTGCACCAGTAAGTTGGAAAGAAAAAGAAACAGATAAATAAAATAAAAACCAGGAAAGAATTGAAAAAAGAAAGATGGCAGATGAAAGAAAAAAAGAATGCATTGCAAATAAGAATCCATTGTAACACTAACTGTTTGGTCAATGAATACCAAATGTTTCTTTTATAGAAACAGTTAATCTCATCATTACTAAAAGAAGCCACTGTAAATGATTTTAGCGTAAGAATGCTTAGCAAAATATTTTACTATAAGAATCCATTGTAACAATGTTTGCTCAATGAATGTTGAATGTTTACTCTATGAAAATGTTTAATCTCACCATTACGATTACCCGTATATTGAGTTATCTGTCCGGAGGTTAGGTTTGTAGAGTTCTGTGATAAACAAGTGTTATATAAACCTAGACAAATTTCGGCTGATCAATTCTCTAGCCCTCTTCTGTCTCATCTCATCTTATCATCAGCCTCGATCGGACAATGTTTTTCTTTCTACTGCGAATAAAATAAGAAGTGGCAACTTCTCCTGAAATCATGTGGTTGTCAGATTGTTACAACATGGGTGCTTGTTCGGTGCTCATCATACCATCGGTCTTTTGCTGCATGTCACATGAACTGCTGCATAGCCGCAAAACACATACAGTTTTTTTTGTTGTTTTTTTTTTTATATTTTACTAATTGTTGTAGAGTGGTTTTCACAGTCGAGGCTTGTATTTCAATAAGTCGTCCTAAATTAGGTTCGACGTACAAAACGTTAGGAACTTGGAAAAATAAGAGTTAATGACGCAGCAATCTAGTTGTGATGGTTGGTACTTCAATGTCCGATATCGACTGACTCGCTCAACACCACTGAGCCCAAGTGGCGACCGCTACTACTACTATTACTTATTATCTGTGGGAGAATCTATAACTATAGAATAGGTACGTCAGGTATAACACTAATATTCACCCAATACAAGGCCCAAGAGCCATTCAAGGTAGAGGGTCATTGTGTAGTATTGTATTAGCTTAAATAAGGGAAATGAATAAAGTGCTATGTAGAAAAGATAACGATGCGCCCTACATGTGAATGTCACGATTTAATTAGTGAATAACAATTCAGAGATCAGTCGCAGACGTTACAAGTATAGAGATGAAGATAGACTTCGTCATGTTTCGTATATTGTCCATGCAATATTAACTGTGATATTTCGAGAAGGGTGTGGCTCATCGCAACGCATGGACGATCTTCGCTATTTTGAACATCGCCTATTGATATTTTCGAAACATAAGAAAAACAACAGTGCAATATGAAGCGTGGTAAAAAAAAAAAATCCTCCTATGTAAATATCTTGTTGGTGCAATGTTTACGACTGTCGTAAAAGTTAGAATTTAAAGGCCTGGTAAAACGATTTTATAGCAGGAATGCAGAGTGATCTACGGGCCACAAAATGACACTAATGGCACTATGAGGAAAATAGGAATATTATTACACAGTTGCCAGTGATTTAAGCTTCCCAGAAGACCACAAGGGGTGGGGCTCTCTTATTTGGTCATGGGGTTTGTTTAAAGAAGTGTTTATAGGACGAGCTACAAACGAACAGCTTGAAAGATAAGTAGATTAACGGATAAACAGAGATAGGGCTTAAATATTTATATCTATCGCTTTCAGAAGTTGAAATCGGCAAGCGGTGTTCGAATTCCGGTGGAGTTTATTGCATTCACTTTCGCACAAATACCCTTCGGTATGAATATCTCCCTTCTCTACCCAGCTATGGGTTTAGGTGGCAAGGTAGACTGGGTCCTATAAGATGGTATGGCAACTAGTCTAAGAGATGGATATCTTTCAATTCAAAAGTGTTTGGTGTGCTAATATGTAGACAGAAGCGTGTCAGCTTCATTTTGGTAGTCTATCTCAAAATGGGGCCAACTTAAAAATAACCATCTTGATAATACCTATTATATATATTTATCGACGAGGATCAAACTCGCACTATGGATGAACAGGATTTTAATGCATATATTATGTTTTCTAGCGATGGATGTCGCCAATAATCGCATTAATACTTCTGATTGATTCTATGTGTGATTATTTCTTTGTATATATATATATATATATATATATATATATATATATATATATATCGGGTGTAACAGCAAAATTGTCCAATCGATAGATTAAGCTTTGAACCATTGTATCTTAGAAATGATTAAAGATATCTTACTGGAATTCTCCGATGTTTTTCTAACACTATTGGACTCTACTTTGAATAATAAGAATGTGTTTAGCTTTAAGTTGAAACGATGATCCGTCTTCCTGTTGTGACCTCCTGATCCAGTTTTCCTTGCTATTGTTGGCTCTTTTTTAAACTTATTCACCTTTCTCTTGAAAGGGCTTTGAAGACGGAAGCCAGAGTATGAATGTTGGTACCATTACTGAAGGCCTGAATGATCTTTTTCCTCTCACTATTGCTCATTAGGGAAGACATAGTGGAGCTGACACAAAACGATTTTAACCTTTTCTCTTTCTAGCTGAATAATTCAAAGGGTTTTTCAGTGATTCTTCGGACAAATCGTGTCAAAATGACTTAACGTCTTATCTGAAAACCTGGAAAAAGAAACTCAATTAGTTTAGTCGTTTTTAGATATTAAACATTTTATGGGATGGACAATTACCACATACTGTTATACTGGGTTGTATATTAATTTTTTTTTTTTTTGTTTCAATTAGTTTCCTCGACTAGTTTCGGTAAGCAATGGCCATCATCAGGAGAGAAAAATTCCTGCTTGTTAGTAGCAGTGAATGATTGTCTCTGAAGAAAGTGAACTTTATTTGTAGTTTTCATTTGATTTTTATCGTTAATTTTGGTCAATCCTTGTATTGGTTAAACGGTTTTTTCTTTCAAGTTCTTTTTAAAATAGAGGCTGGGAGATTCCTGAGTCTTAGAATTCCCTCCTTAGACATTTTGACAGTTTTATTGGTTGCTGGGAAAAGGATTTGTGTGTGTTAAATGTATGTTATCTTTTAGTTTTTGAGGAATGTGTGTTTGTTGGTCTCTCTCTCTCTCTCTCTCTCTCTCTCTCTGTGTTGTGCAGCAATTAGTCTGTTGATGGTGGTGATGATGATGATGACGACGAAACGAAAATATATCATAATTATATAAATAATACGGTGGAGTCATAGATAATCTTTCAATATCCGTTACAGTCAATTAGTTTTAAAGTAATGAACTGTCAAAAAAAAGAAAAAAGTAATACTACTTTGATACACCTAAGCATCTAATAATAATATTAATAATATCATGGAATCATAGTCTTCAGATGTGAATATGAAATGAACTTTGAAGTAAAGTAAAAAAACGGAAATACTTTTACTACACCCACATATAAGTAAGTATTGTATTGGGATGAATATGAACCGATAAAAAAACAGACATATAAATAGATAGATAGAAAGAAAGTCTGTAATAAATAGATATGAACAAAGACTGAAATATATATATATATATATATATAGATAGATAGATAGATAGATAGATATTAACAAAGACAGAGATAGATAGATAGATTGATAGATAGATATGGACAGAGATAGATAGATAGATAGATAGATAGATATTAACAAAGACAGAGATAGATAGATAGATTGATAGATAGATATGGACAGAGATAGATAGATAGATAGATTGATAGATAGATATGGACAAAGACTTAGATAGATAGATAGATAGATATGGACAAAGACTTAGATAGATAGATAGATAGATAGATAGATAGATAGATATGGACAAAGACATAGATAGATAGATAGATAGATATGGACAAAGACATAGATAGATAGATAGATAGATATGGACAAAGACATAGATAGATAGATAGATAGATATGGACAAAGACATAGATAGATAGATAGATAGATAGATATGGACAAAGACATAGATAGATAGATAGATAGATAGATATGGACAAAGACTTAGATAGATAGATAGATAGATAGATATGGACAAAGACTTAGATAGATAGATAGATAGATAGATATGGACAAAGACTTAGATAGATAGATAGATAGATAGATATGGACAAAGACTTGAAGATAGATAGATGATAGATAGATAGATATGGACAAAGACTTAGATAGATAGATAGATGAATAGATATGGACAAAGACTTAGATAGATAGATAGATAGATAGATATGGACAAAGACTTAGATAGATAGATAGATATGGACAAAGACTTAGATAGATAGATAGATAGATATGAACAAAGACTGAAATAGATAGATAGATAGATAGATAGATAGTCTTTGTTCATATCTATCTATCTGAGATAGATAGATAGATATGAACAAAGACTGAAATAGATAGATAGATAGATATGAACAAAGACTGAAATAGATAGATAGATAGATAGATAGATATGAATAAAGACTGAAATAGATAGATAGATAGATATGAACAAAGACTGAAATAGATAGATAGATAGATAGATATGAACAAAGACTTAGATAGATAGATAGATAGATAGATATGAACAAAGATTTAGATAGATAGATATGAACAAAGATTTAAATAGATAGATAGATAGATAGATATGAACAAAGACTTAAATAGATAGATAGATAGATAGATAGATATGCACAAAGACTTAAATAGATAGATAGATGTGAACCGACAGTAAGCGATTAAAGTAGTGGTTGTTATAATAATAATAATAATAATAATAATAATAATAACCTCAAATGTCAATAATTTGGTACATGAAGCCAGCAATAATAGCCGTTGTGTTTGGGATTTGGGTTTGATTGGAAGTGGTTCTCATAGACTCATGAAATATATTCCTGAACCCTCATATCTTAAAGAATACAAATAAAATTATTATAAGTCCAGCTCACATCCTACGAAACGCTTTATCTATGTAAAATGCGTGTGCGTTTGTCATTGTTTTGGAGGAGTGGCGAGGTAGGGTTACACAATGGTTCAGTGGGAAATGTCATGATACCATTTTTGAGCTTAGGTCTCCGGTTGGCACTCAGGAGGAAATGAGTATGCAAAAGAAATTGAAGGAAATAATAATAATGATAATGAATTTCCTGATGCTGTACCAGGCAAGGCTCTCATAGCTTAGCTTCTGAAATGATTAGAGGCTTTAAAATGTACGTGTTTTTTTTTTCTTGGTGAACTAAAACGGGCTACAGTAAAGATGCTGTTCAGTACCAGATATTTACTTATCAGTTGCTTGACCATAAGCAGTTGGGCACGATCCGCTGGAGACTGACGCACTGCTTATATCTGTTCATGAGCGGGAGTAGTGGCGGAGCATTATTATTAGTCGGGTCACAAAAGGATTTCTTTTAAGGATGAGGTAACCACGGCGAATTCGGACTCACGTCTAGACAATTGGAAACACCGTCAATCGGAGGCCGTCTGAACGAACGGAATTAACCGAAATGAAGGTATTTTTAACTGGACCTTACCTGCAATGTTATACGCCATTTTTGTTTTATCAAAATCTCTCCCAATATGGCGCACATTTGGCTGTGCTGCACACGCAGCACAGCCAAATGGAGGACCATTCACTGCCATATAGGAGGACCGATATTATATAACAGTTCAGTAGTCTTTTCTTTGTTTTCAATAAAATCTTCGTGAAAGTTGGCCCAATATTTAAGACTAGAGGAATTATTATTACTGTTGATTCATAAAAGCCAGTTACTACCAAAAGAAGAATTTAAAAGATAGCACAAACCAGTGTGAAGGGTATACAACAAAAAAAAAAAAAATAGACACTTTATGTTCATAGAAAGCGTTCAAACAAATTCCACCATTTCTGACCTTAACGGCTAAGACCCACCATGCCACGCCCATTGTAGCGAAGCACCCTCATTCCCTTCGTATTCCATTAGTGAGATGTAGGTTCCACACGAACAGCTTCTCAAGAAGAAGAAGAAGAAGGGGAAAGCGAACAATAATAATAACAATAAGAAAAAGTGGAGGAGAACGAGAAGGATAATAATAATAATAATAAGAAGAAGGTAGCGGAAAGAGAACGACAATAATAATAATAATATCAATAAGAATAAGGAGAAGGGGAAAGAGAAAATTAATAATAATAATAAGAAGAAGAAGGAAATCGAGGGAAAGAGAGGAGAAGAAAAAGGAGGAGGAGGAGGATGCAAAGGAGATGGAGGGAAAAGAGAACAGAAGAAGAAGGTAGAGGAAAGAGATTAATAATAATAATAATAATAATAATAATAAGATGAAGAAGAAAAAGAAGAAGAAGAAGGACGAGGAGCAGAAGAACAACAACAACAACAATAATAATAAGAAGAAGAAGAAGAAGAAGGTAGGAGAAAGAGAACAACAACAACAATAATAATAATAAGAAGAAGAAGGTAGGAGAAAGAGAACAACAACAACAATAATAATAATAATAAGAAGAAGAAGAAGAAGGTAGGAGAAAGAGAACAACAACAACAATAATAATAATAATAATAAGAAGAAGAAGAAGAAGAAGGTAGGAGAAAGAGAACAACAACAACAATAAGAAGGAAAGGTTGAAAAAAGAAAGGTTAAAACTTAAAACAAACAACATGACCCTTGTGGAAGTCAGGTACAAATATATTTAACAAAAGATAATATGTTTTCCGGAATTTTCGGATTCTTACCACCTACTCTAAATATTCAACCCTCTACACAGCGTCGAATTTAGGTCAGATTATTAAACTATTATTTATTTCCAAGCTATATATTTCGGGTATATAATGAAAGTCAAGGCTACAAAACACTTGGTGACAATCCGATCGACGTGTCATGAGACAATCATTTGAGCGAAACAGAAAAAACAAATTTATGAAATGGACGGGAAGTGACAATGCAAAACCATGTGGGCTAAACAATAGGGAATCGTAGAAAGGATCACGTAGGTGAGAAGAAACAGTTTACATAGCAGGATATTATATTAAAAGGGGGAAATGTAAATAAAAATCACTGCAGTCATTAGCAACAGTCTCGCCAGCGTGTACCTCTTGGTTGGAGAACGATGTATGGATTAAGGTGAGGGGATGATGAAAAAGATTTTATGTGAAATAAGCTAAGCAGAACTTTATATACGTATTTCTCCCTATCTATCTATCTATCTATCTATCTATCTATCTATCTATCTATCAAAGTCTTCTCAATATCTATCTATCTATCTATCTATCTATCTATCTATCTATCTATCTATCTATCTGTAATAAATATCTATCTATCTATAATCAATATCTATCTATCTAATCAATATCTATCTATCTATAATCAATATCTATCTGCTCAATATCTATCTATCTATCTATCTATCTAATCAATATCTATCTATCTAATCAATATATCAAAATCTATCTATCTATCTATCTATCTATCTATCTATCTATCTATCTATCTAACAGTCTCTTCATATGTATATGTATGTATATTAAGCAATTGAAGGATGCGTTTTAATCCTACATTATTTGCTATTACTATAAGATGCACGTTTACAATCATTTTTTTAAACAGTGAAATCTACCGGTTTGCTTAAGCGAGAATCTTTATAAAATTTCCAATTATCCAATCCGGTAGACGTCAGTTTCACTAAAGATGTTTCGACTAAATATTATATGTATAATATATATATATATATATATATATATATATATATATATATATATATATATATATATAAAATAATATATATAAACCTTACTGCTACCATTATTTTTTATTAACACATTTTATTCGTCGAAATTTATTTTAGAAACAACAACGTTTGATTTACCGTTTCGCTTGTATTTCCTTTCAAATTTGCATTTATACACACACACACAGACATATATATATATATATATATATATATATATATATATATATATATATATATATATATATATATATATATATATATATATATATATATATATATATATATATATATATATATATATATACATATATATATATATATATATATATATATATATATATATATATATATATATATATATATATATATATATATATATATATATATATATATATATATATATATATATATATATATATATATATATATATATATATATATATATATATATATATATATATATATATATATATATATATATATATATATATATATATATATATATATATATATATATATATATATATATATATATATATATATATATATATATATATATATATATATATATATATATATATAAATTAATATATATATATATATATATATCAATTTTATATATAATATATATATCATTTTGTCTTTTATATTTTAAATTTTGTTATATATATATATATATATATATATATATATATATATATATATATATATATATATATATATATATATATATATATAATATTGTACATTTTTTATTTTAAAATTTTGTTGTTATATTTTTTATTTATAGATATATATATTTATATAAATATATATTTAAGATAAACAGTATTAAATAACATTTTTATTTATGTTGAATGTGTTATTTTTTTTCATAGAAAATATTCGTTCATAGACAGATTCGAAAACTGCATCCTATACGGAACTGTCATATACGCTGATGTATAGGATGCAGGTTCGAATCCTGTCTATGAACGAATATTTTCTATGAAAATTTCTCGGACATTCAGGCCGGTAAATGTTATTTAATACTGTTTATCTTAAACAGAGCATTTGCTTAAATACTTGTATCTATAAAAAAACGTTAAACAAAAATAAAATGTCTTTAATAAATAAATTGTCGGACCTTGTCCATTTCTTAACATATATATATATATATATATATATATATATATGGTAAAATATAGTATTAAGATAAATAAATATGGTTTTATAAATAAGGTATGTTATTATATGTATGGGCAATATCAGCGAGTGAGCATGTGTCTATATATATGCGCAGACTGAGTTCAACTCTGAGCGAGAGCAGTCTTTTTCATGCTTCAACATCTTCAGACATAAATATTGCGTTCAAACATACATGCGGACTATCACCACTCAAAGTTGACCTCAGTGTCCACTTTCATATATATATGTGTGTGTGTCTGTGTATGTATATATATATATATATATATATATATATATATATATATATATATATATATATAATGTAATACGTTGTCCAACAAGTTCGTTCAGTTTATGAGGTAAATTTTCTGTTTAATAAGCGAACGAACTGTTTGGCCAACCCAATATATCTCAAAATACGCTTTTTTTCCTATATGCTTATTGGTTTCGTAAATGATATTTTATAGCAACCGACCCTCTTCCTCAATTGACCCAATCAGTTCGGATCAGACCCTGCTCTACCTCCCGACAACTGCTTACCAATTCCTGTACCTTCACTTCTATTTTGGTAGCTTGATTGCTAGTTTCGGAATTTTATATATTTTCTCTCTCTCTCTCTCTCTCTCTCTCTATATATATATATATATATATATATATATATATATATATATATATATATATATATTCTATATATATATATATATATTATATATATATATATATATTCTATGTGTATATATATATATACATGTATGTATATATATATATATATATATATATATATATATATATATATATATATATATATATATATATATATATATATAGTTTTAAGGGCGGACTGAGGAGTCGGAAAACCGAATTCATTACATTCACTTACGTGCTAATACCCTTGGGAAAGGTATGAATACTCTTCTTCTACAACCCACCCACACCTATGGGTGAATAAGAAGGCAGACAGGGTTCTATAGCCTTGGATGGCAACTGGTCTACCGCAGAAAGAAATGGCAACCTACTGCGGGAAAAAAATCTGTCTCGGCAGTCATGTATCGAAAGATACATGATCGCCTAAGCTTGTATCACGAATGGCACATAACTGACTGATAGTTATGAGGTAAAAGGCTCGATATGAAGGATAAAACGTATATAAATATAAATATTAATACATAGTGGACAATGAGGGCAACATCCAGTGCCGACAGTCAGGCCAATTCTTTTATTTGAGGAAGGCCGGTGAGAGATGACGATTGGTGTTTCAGCATGAAACGGACCATTCGGCGCTGGGATGTTTACCTCAACCGCCACTTCATTGTTTCACTTCGGAAAGTAAGATTCAGATGTGTTTTCCACGACTGTTAAAAGTACTTCTACGTCAGTATCGGAGACAAACAAGTTTAGCTTTATCAATGCGCGCCTCCATGCACAGAGTGTGGCACAAGGTCGAGATTAGAGTAGGATTTCGGTAGCCGTTCACAAACTGATCACCCCCTTTTTTGGAGACTTCTCAGGCGCCGGGTAATGACCTCAACCCACATCCGGAGGTTATATACTGCCTGGCGAAGGGTTTGGCTCTCTGGGACGCCTCGAGCCTAATATTCAACTGATACTTCTTTCCCTCTGGGAAGTAACACACAGGACTTCACTGGAAGATTTAAGTAGAGCGGAGACGGGGACATTATCGACTAAACTAGAGTTCACGTATTGAGGAAGGGTGGTAAGGGAAGCTTAAATGTAAGTTGTGTAGTTTTATATAGAGAATAACTCGCAGTTAGTGTACGTTCTCGATGAATACTTAAGTGATGAAAAGAAACAATTGTCTGGAAAAAATATCGTTCTTAAGAAAAACTCTAATGTTTACTAGAATTGATTAACTTAAAATTTTGGGGGATTTATTTTTTTTTTTTCTAAAAATTATTGCTTAAATTTAAACACGTATTTTAAAATTTTGGAATCATTTTAATTATTTTATTACAAATTCCTTTATATTTTCTCTCCTTTTTTTATACTGTGTGTGTGAACGAGAGTCATTGATTTTTTTTTTTTTTTCCAGCAACTTGCTATAATCGAGTGTTTCTCTTTCCGTAATATTTTTAGCTGACGTCTGTTAAGCCCGGATACTGTGGTGTTCGAATTCCTGAGTGCATCGCTGTCTTGCCTTTTTACAACACAAGGAAGCGGCGAAGAGCTTCCGGAGATCCATTTTTCTCTATAAGACTTCTCTATCGCATCCAGTTTAAACTGAAGCAAAAAGAAGGGAAACGAATTAAATAATATTTACTAAAAACTTATCAAGATCTGTGAGAGAGAAAAAAATTTAACTCGCGGATAAAAACATAAAAATAACAGCAAAAAAAAAAAAAAAAAAAGCGAAAAACATCGCTTCTGTTTGTAAACAAGACAATTTCCCTTTCTTTCAATATATATTTAAAATTTAATTTTCTCGCTTTTCCAACAATTCAACCTGGATATATTTCCCGCCAATTTGCCAGAATTTTGGAAACTTTTTACAAGGACAAAACATGAAACGCACTGGAGCCATTCGGCGCCCACAACACGTGAGTTCGAGTTTAAGTCTCTTCTTTCTACGTCCCCTCGTAATTTTTCTTGGACATGACTAACGTTTACTGTTGACAACAACTTGAAAAAAATATCAAAAACAGTTGACTAAATAGAATTAATAAATACACGTACAGTGCTGATAATTACATTGGTGAAGAATGAATCTATGAAACGCCTCCACCCACGAAACTATGACACGCCCCCCACCACCACCTCTACTACATCTCGATTTTCATAAGGTAGTTATATAAAAATACTAAGTTTATTGTAACCTAATTATATACAATAATGGATCATATGCAATATAGATAAACAATTCAACTAGAAAAATTGAAAATAAATAAACCCGGATATAAGAGACCCGGATATAAGAGACCCGGATATAAGAGACCCGGATATAAGAGAAACCCGGATATAAGAGAGATTTTCTCTGGTTCCAAATTAGAGCCTCTGTTAATGTATATAAAATAGACCAAACCCGGATATAAGAGAAACCC